TGGGTGGGCAACTGTGGCTCTCTACGTGTTGTCAGATTCTAATTCGCTGTAGCTGACAAAATCAACCATGAAATATGCGCTGTCCTGGAAGTTAACAACATCTGAAGGGACACATTTGCTCACCCCTACTTTAAAACAATCTATGGAAAAGTCCATCAGAATGCATAAGAAATAACAGGTACAGGACAAAAGAGATCTCACAAAATCAACTAGATTAGCAGCTGTACACACATATTCAGAATCGATTGGCACTCTGTTGTCATTGTTTTTCAAATCTGGAGACAACACACTTCAAATATAAAACCAATAGTCAGCTAAGGTTTTCTTACCTGTGGTTTAGTGAAATCATTGTTTATGCACCACTGAATGAAATGTTTTGTAGCAAGACAAATAATCTTTTCATCAGTTTTCTTACAATAAACTCTGATTAGTTGTTCTGCAAATTTTTCTGGAAGAAGCTTTGAAACCTTAAGACAGAAGGTAAAGAGAATTAAGACAGAAACACCCCTCTCACTTTATAATTTTTTTCAGAGTAAATTCTAGCAGTGATAATCTTAATGGTGATTTCCGTGCCTGTAAATGGCATCATGTAATTTGTGGTGGGCACTGCCACTTATTAACAAGGTGCTGGCTGTATTCCTTTTCATGCACCTGGTCGTATGAGTAGCCCACAACCAGGAACATGACTGGCATCTTGTTAATTAGCAGCAATTCGTTGCAGCAACTTACCGTTTGATGTATGCATGCCACCAGCTTTCTGGCCAAAGAACTACTTACCATACCACCTTTATTCATGCAGCACTCCAAAATGACATAAAACCAACAATGCTCATTTAAAAGGATGCTAAAGTTTGATGTACAGAAATTTTACTTTAAAGCTAAGTTACAGTCAGCAGTAATATAACAGCTTATGTAGGAATTGTGTTGCTAACTTGCATACCATTTTTCAGACATTTCCACACAGGGTTAGATCATTCTCTGAAAAGCCAACATAAACTTGTGAGAAATGCCATCCAATCCTCTACTTACTTGTTCTTTTGTAATTTTGACTGCATGATTGATGTCAGATTTACAATAGAAGTGTACGTTATTGACAGGGTTCTTCTCTTTCATTCCATAATCCATATTGATAACCTTCACATAGGCAAATTTAAAAAAATACTTAAGTAAGTTGTGCTTAGTTTGATTTCTTAGAATATATTAAATATTTTCTTAAAAAACACATACTTACATCAACAATAAAGTCTTCAGCTTTCAACGGAACAGCCTGCAATTCAACATCTTCAGGAAGTATTTTTGGCTTAGCCTCAACTATTTCAGCAGATAGTTTATCATATTGCTCCTGGATAGAGGAGAGCTTTTTCACTTTTTGCCTGACATGGAGTGTTACAATCTTTTGATAGTTTTATTCATGGAATTATATGATTTTATTGCTAAGACAGTACAGTATTACTATGATAAAATACTTGTGACTGAAGAGTGAGGTATTCAATATCTTAAATATTAAAGATTCCAATGAGTGGCTTGAGGGATTTGAGATCACTCAAGCAGCCTCAGCCAAATATATCCCCAACAGTCACTAAGCAGTCAGCCAGAACACAGTGTGAGCAAACTCTATGCTGGTGCTTCCCAACATTGGGTCCCCAGATGTTCTTACACTAAAACTTCTAGAACCATTCACCATTAGCTATACCGGCCAGGATTTCTGGGAGTTGCAGTCCTGCTTATTTAACTTATATGCAGAATACATAATGCAAAAGGCAGGACTGGATGAATCCCAAGCCGGAATTAAGATTGCCGGAATAAATATCAACAACCTCCGATATGCAGATGATACCACTCTGATAACAGAAAGTGAGGAGGAATTAAAGAACCTTGTAATGAAGGTGCAAGAGGAGAGCACGAAAATGGTCTGAAGCTCAGCATCAAAAAAACTAAGATCATGGCCACTGGTCCCATCATCTCCTGGCAAACAGAAGGGGAAGATATGAAGGCAGTGACAGATTTTACTTTCTTGGGCTTCATGATCACCACAGATGGTGACAGCAGCCATGAAATTAAAAGACACCTGCTTCTTGGGAGGAAAGTGATGACAAACCTAGACAGCATCTTAAAAAGCAGAGACATCACCTTACCAACAAAGGTCCGCATAGTCAAAGCTATGGTTTTTCCAGTAGCGATATATGGAAGTGAGAGCTAGACCATAAAGAAGGCTGAGTGCCGAAGAATGGATGTTTTTGAACTGTGGTGCTGGAGAAGACTCTTGAGAGTCCCCTGGAGTGCAAAGAGAACAAACCTATCCATTTTGATCAAAATCAACCCTGAATGCTCACTGAAGCTGAGGCTCCAATGTTTTGGCCATCTCATAAGAAGAGAAGACTCCCTGGAAAAGACCCTGATGTTGGGAAAGTGTGAAGGCAAGAGGAGAAGGGGACGACAGAGGATGAGATGGTTGGACAGTGTCATCGAAGCGACCAACATGAATTTGACCAAACTCTGGGCGGCAGTGGAAGACAGGAGAGCCTGGCGTGCTCTAGTCCATGGGGACATGAAGAGTCAGACATGACTTTACGACTAAACAACATCATTATACTGGCCAGGATTTCTGGGAGTTGCAGTCCAAGAACATCTGGGGACCCAAGGTTGAGAACCACTGCACTATGTTCATTTCACTTGAGACCAGTTTCTTGCAGCTCACCAAAAATGACTTCTGACTGACCCCAAGAAAGGATAATCTTAGTTCAGTCCTGGAAACTTGAAACTCCACTTTCTTACACCAGATCTACCCTGTTCTTCAAAATCTGCCTCACAGGTTCATCTCCAAGTACTTTACCCCCAGGGTGGCCTTTTAGCAGTAATCCCATTAAATGAATAGCATCCTAAATAGATCTGTAGGCAGCAACATAATGTCTTATTTTAATATTTGTGTTCTACTTTTTTCCCCCTTGGAAACTCAAAAGCAACTAGCAAATAGTTATGCCTAGAAACAAATATTACAACCATAAGGAGATTAGAATATCTGTTCTCCAAATTTAGATTCTGCTACAGTATATTTAGTGGTTCGGAGTTTTACTTGTCTTCTCCCTACTCCTACTGCTGCTCCTTTGTGTACTTCTGTTTAATTTGATAATATTCACTTTGAGTCATTTTCGATATCTTTTTCATAAGATAAAGGTAAAGGGTCCCCTTGACATTTAGTCCAGCCGTGTCCAATTCTAGGGCGCGGTGCTCATCCTTGTCTCCAAGTCGTAGAGCTAGCGTTTGTTGTCCATAGACAGTTTCTGTGGTCATGTGGCCAGGGCAACTAGACACAGAACGTCATTACATTCCCACCGTAGTGATACCTATTCATCTACTCACATTTACATGCTTTCAAGCTGCTGGGTTGGCAGGAGCTGGGTCAAGCGACAGGAGCTCACTCCGTCGCGTGGATCTGATCTTATGACTGCTGGTCTTTTGACCTTGCAGGACAGAGGCTTCTGCGGTTTAACCCACAGGGCCACCACGTCCCACTTTTTCATAGCCAGTACTATATGCTAATCTATCATCAAAATTGCCTTCTGTTACTGGATGCTCTGAAATGGAAAGAGGTAGGAGGCTTTTTTTAAGTACCAGCAGTACAACCAAAGTTAGGAATACATTACCCTATGACTGCAGCCAAACAGGTTGGTAACACAGTAAGAATGGAACAATATACTATAGGAAACTGTACCTACCTTTGGGATTTCCTTGCCCTCTGGAGGCTGAGTCTGCCCAAGGTACTTATAGAGATCACGTCTCTCTATTTTACGCAAAATTTCCCGTGCTTCGTTCAGCTCTGGTTTATCAGAGTGGAGGATTGTTAGAAAGATCTCATCTGCCAATATTAAGCAAAAAAATAAGAAGTCACTGAAGCTAGCTGGGCATTGTATTTTACATACTTGAAAAATACAATCTGTGATTTCCCAGATTTGTGTTTTATACATCTGTGATTAGAGCCTAATCCGAATTTTCCCTTGTATATTCATAGAATTCAACCCACAAGTAAAACCCACATTCTGTCCTGTTCCTACTATAGGAAACCAAAGTTGATGTCTTTGAATGGTGTCAAGACCGAGACTAAGTGGACCTTCTTCCTCTGACATTAATTTGGAATTAAACAAAGGCCCTTCTTTGGGTCCATCTGCTGAGTAAAGGATACAGACTTTAAGATAGAATGAGTGATGTTTCAGGTTTTCAACACAGAATACTCTATTGCAAAAAATATTGTTCTTAATACTTGCAGGAGTATAAACTCACAAAAATTTGAAATTTTATTTATTTGCATCCCGCCCTTCTCCCAGAAACTGAGAATGAGGTAGCCTTTAAAACAAACAAATTATATATATATAGAAAAGAAAATTAAATTAAGACCATTTAAAACATCTAAGTCAAACTAACATTAGTGCATTATAATTTATAATAATAATAATAATCTTAGCAACTGCAAAGCTGGAAAGGATTCTATGGATCATTGAGCCCAACCCATCAGGGAGGCCCATTGGGGAATCGAATTCCCAACCTCTGGCTCCACAGCCAGGGACCCAAACCACTGAGTAATCCAGCAGTTCTCTATAATGCAAATAATTAATAAACTAATCTATACGGTACAAAACTATCTTTGCCTCCTGGGAACTGAAGGGGTCATTCATCAATAAAGATTCTAATCCTGTGGACCAACCCACTTGCCTGAATGTTTAACCATACAGATGTTTAACCATTTTTCCTCTCTTTGTAGCCCTCCCTCTGTGTACTCCAAAGACTTGGGGCAACCATCCACTGCAATAGGAGATGGTACCAGGAGCTGCTGAAGTTAACAAGATCATGCACATCTTTCTTGCCAGCAGAAACATTCTACAAGGAACTCCCACTACTACCATAAGTGGAAGCAAATCTTGGATCCAACCTGTGGTTTCAAACAAAGTATTTCTAATGCATTACTTCAGTGTTAAAGAACCTAGAACGACAGAGTAAATACTTTTAATACCTCCCAAACAGCTGTGATTAGTATACAGGGTGTCAAACCAATGTCTGATACGATCACTACCCATTAATGACTATAACCATGGCCCATACCTGTTAGCTTAGTGTAGGCTTCCATATCTTGAAGTGCTGTAGAGATCTTGTATTCTTTCCCCCCAGAGCCTTTTATTGTGATATGCGGATCAGCTTTTAACAAGGCATCTGTAATCCTGGTTGAAAACATGGAACAAACAGATATTAATTCATAACTTCAGCATACCTCCAAATCAGGCACTCCAGATTATTTTTGAAAACTGATGTTTCCAAACTAAAATAACCAGAAATTAGCAGAAAGTAGCAATGCTAAACAAAGATTAGTGAAACTCAAACCAAATTTAATTCACACTTTTTGTCAGCAAAAGTATTTATTTTACGTCTACTAAAATATATTAAATATTTATTCTAACACTGTCTCTGGTGTACAACGAGCCAGTATATCATATAACAATGAAATCAAGCATTAATAATAAACAGATAACAAAATATAATAAAAATACTAAGAACAAGTGTCATAATAACCTCTGCTAAATGAAGACAGTGATTAAGTAGAAGAGCAGAGTGTCACTCACTTCACCCACTAAGAATAAAAAAAATTGAGCTACAGACTTGAGTTTTAGGGTGGATCAGTTTTGATAATTTGATACAGTAGAAGAGCACATCTGACTAAAACTTAAAAGAATAATTTTTAATATAAACACAAATTCTGATGATGCACAACAGCAGAGAAGGCACCCTTTCTCTTTACAGACACAAACAGCTAAACTACATGTACAGTGATGCCTTACAAGATGAAATTAATTCGTTCCGCGAGTCGTGTCGTATTGTGAAAATTTCATCTTGTGAAGCGCGGTACTAACGGTTGTGCGATTTAAACCAAACCAAAAAAAGGGAGGGGATTGTCTTGCAAAGCACGGCCATAGAAAAATTTGTCTTGCGAGTCACCAAAATAAAATAAATAAAGTAAAACGCTCTCGTCTTGTGAGTTTTTCATTCCGAAAGGCATTAGTCTTGCGAGGCATCACTGTATCTTCTAAAAGCTAGTTACTAGCAAAGAAATTCACATCTAATCTATTAAAACTCCTATAATTTAAATGACAGCTAGGAATTATTTCATCAGTGACACATACTTACATGGTTTCAATGATGTTGCCAACTTTGTGCTGGTAGGCTCTGCGGTGAAGGCAGTTCCGTGTATGGAACATGTCATACAAATTCCCAACCTCCTAAATTCCAAAATAAAATAGATTAAAACATACAGATGAGAACTAACATACTTATAGCATTTTAAAAAATTTCTGGAACAAGTGGTTTAAGATTAATAAAGTGAAAGGTAAGAAACAAAAAAAGCTGATTAAAACCTGAATCATAAATACCATTTCAAATTAAAGCATGGGAATTATGAATGTTCCATGTACCTTTATAGCTGTTTGCATAATTAGTAAACAAATACCATTTACGAAAAAACAGATGACATGTCTGTAGGTTTCTTAGATTCTGGTTGTGGGAAGACAATTTTTTCAGATTCATCAAATAATTCATGTTGCGTCCAATACAATAGCTAAAGTTTCGAAGAACAAGAGAAGTGCCAGTAATTGACAGCAGTTAAGCTTTCAACCAGATTCAGAAGAAATGTCATGGTTTCCACAGGCTTCAATTTACAAAAACTGAACTGATGAGGACAGGACATTTTGCTTTCTAACCTCTAGGAATAAATGGGACTCCAAATATTAAGAATTATTGTTACAGATATTTAGAACAATCAGATTTGGAAATATTCAGAATTATCTGAATATGGCATTAATTGGTGAATTCCAAATATTTCTGAATCTGAATGCATATCCCTGCTTTAGAGTTGTGTTTCTCAATTTGATAAAGACAGGCAGAGAAGGTTGTTGTAGGTTTTTTGGGCTGTTTGGACAGGCAGAGAAGGCTGTTGTAGGGTTTTTGGGCTGTTTGGCTGTGTTCTGGATGCTAAACAGGTCACAAATATCCACAGCACGTCCGAACAGCCCGGAAAACCTACAACCACCATCGGATCCCAGCCGTAAAAGCCTTCGAGAATACACACGCAGAGACTTTTAGCTGGAATTCAGATTCACAAGACCCCCATATACACGGTCATGAAGCTCAATGGGTAGTTTGGACAAGCCACTGCCTTACAGTTTAACCCACCTCATAGCAAGTGATCGACGTGCAAAGTAAGTTAATGCTTCCTATTCTGGCTGGAAAGAACAGTAGGAATTAAGTGACTTAACAATAATTGGCAGAATTTTCCAAAATGCCACTGAAAAGATGACTCCACTCTCACTCAAATTTTCCTCAAGGAAGCATACCTTGTCACGGGTGCAAATATGTTTTTGCTTTTTCACTTGACAGACCCGGGCAAATTTGATGAATCGTTCATAATCAAAATTATTCTGAATTCCAAGGTGATGACAATCCCTAAACATTCCAAAACCAGAGAAAGTCATTCAGTTATGAATCTGATTGATTCAGTTTTCCAAAATTTGTTATTATAAATACAGAAGAAAAATCTTCATATTCATGACACTGTTTAAAAAACAATTAAAATAGATTAATTAATGCACCAAGAATACTTTTCTACCAGAAATATATTTTTAGTAAAAAGTCACAAATATTTTAGTTGATATTATCAAGTTGGTGATCATTTCAAGTGTCAATCTGTCATATTCATGACTTATACCAAAAAAATCTAAAAGGACTCCCTGGCAATTATATGGAATTTTATGACCAACAATTTGCTCTATATAATATGAAAGCAAATGTCTAAATCAATTGCCAAAATTTATTAATTAACTCTGTTTCAATACATTCCCTAAAAATATGTATTTGTTAGTACAAATATTGTGCAATGTTTTTAATTTACTTATAAATATTAGTCAATAAAAATTCATGGGAGGACATTCAATTATTACTATATATCCCATTCACTTTAAATTTAACTTGAACAAATAGAAGTTAATAAAAAAAATCAAAGCAGCAGAGATGGATATTTTAACTGAAGTATTAAAAGACAAAGAAATTGTTGAGGCTAGAAAAAAGTGGTAACCTTTGTATAATTGGATGAGAGATGAGAACATGAATGGGTTAAAATTATAAGAAAGAAGATATGTTATAATTGCAGAGTTTAAAGGCTTAGAAAAAAATGGCAAGGTAAGTGTGAAGTATTTTTATATTTACCCCAGTACCCTGTTCCAAACCCCGTTTGCTGTATTTCCTTACCCAATTGAAAATGGGGAAAAAGAAAAAAATTAACCTTAACAACAAAAACAACAATATTGTGTCAATATTTAACAGATACTTAGGGTTTTGGTTAAAACTTGTATGTTACATAACACAAGTCAATGTTTTTAATTTTGATTGCCTGTGCCTGGTGCTTATTACAGGGGTGCCTCGCATAACGAGCGCACTGTTTAACGACGAATTTGCATAGCGATCCGTTTTTTGGGATAGGTAATGCGATCGCATTGCGATGATTTAATAGGGCAAAAATCGCTTTGCGACGATCGGTAAGCGTTTCGCTTACCGATTTTCGCATAGCGATTTTTTAAATCAGCTGTTCGGCAGTTTCAAACGGCCGCCACACGCCCAAAATGGCCACGCGCAGCGTTTTTGCAACCCTGCCCTCGCTTACCGAGGGTGCGAAAATGGCGGCCGGATGGGGAAACTTTGCTTAACGTTGAGGTTAGAAGCCACAGGAACGCATTAAACTAAGTTTAATGTGTTCCTACGGCATTTTCCATTCCGTATAGCGATGTTTCCCCACAGTGACGGTTAATCCGGAACGGATTAACCTCGCTATGCGGGGCACCACTGTATTACTATTATTGTTGTTGTTGTTGTTGTTGTTATGCTATATACTTCCAGTCAATGTTTTATGATTTTGATTGACTGTGCCTAGTGTTTTTGAACAACAACAACAACAACAACAACAACAACAGTATGCTGTTGAGTCACTTTTGACTTATAGGAATTCTTTACAGGGTTTTCTAGGTACGGATCACTTAGAAGTGGTTTACCATTCCCTTCTTCAATGGGCATCCTGGGACTATGCAGCTTACTCAAGGCCACACAACCTGGCTCTTCTGGGATACATAGTGGGGAACTGAATAGCCGGATACTTAAACCATGAGCTACCCAGCCACTGCTTAATACCTTCGATTAATTGAAAGAAGGCTTGCAAGCACTAGTACACCATGTATTTGCAGCAAAGGACTTTCAACTGTTTCAAATGACCACCAAAATCTTTGTACCTGGCAAAATAATCCCATTTATCAACATCAATACCATTCCTTTTGTTAGCCACTATCTCATAAAGAAAGCTCTTTTCTTCAGGTCGCCCACGGTAAGGCCACTGGACAAAAAAGAAAAAGAAAAAGGTCAAGTAAATACCACATTGAAATGAACCAGTCCACCATGGCACCAAATTGGTACTGAAGAAAGGTTTTTAGGCAGTAGTTTTTATGTAATGGAACTAATCACATTGCCAATTCTGAGGGTTAAAAATCTGACTCTGATGATTAAAATCACTTTTTTCAAAATACATAAATAACTGTAAATTAAACACTTTTTTCCTGTCCCAGCATATAGGATGACCTATTATGGTGCTACTTGCATGTAACTTTCAGTTAGCACCTAAAAGATCTATGGAGGCAGGCCTCTGCTTGTTCTAGCAGCTGAGCTCAAAGCCATTACATTACAGATTTCAGAAAACCTTGAGAAAAGTTATCTTTTTAACTTACTACTACCAGTGTTCCCTGGCCACCTTGGTTAGAGGCTGAGGGATTCTGGGAACAGCAGTTGAAAAAAAAGAAAATTTCACCACAGAACTGGATTTCAGTCTCTTTAATGACCAGTCATATTTTCAGTACCGCAATCCTTCACCCCTCTGTCTGAGAAGAAGCTGCACCAATCTCAATGGTACTTGCAACATTTTTCTGAGTATGAACTGCTACGACCATGCACCCGTTTAACTCAGCACTATCTACTCTGCTCCAGAGTCATAGGTAGACTTTAACATCTCTATTAACTTGTCTCTCCCTGGGACATTTTCTATGCAATGTGTATGCTCTGCTTCTAACCTGGGCCTCTTCCTGCCTTCTCACTTTCCATGTAATCCTCAATATGCAACAGGGCTTAATTTTCCATGCTCCATGCTAGCATTTCAAAAATATGTACACAACCCACCTAAATGAATAAACAGTATTTCATATTTCTTCCATTTTTGGCTCCTGTCTCTTCTGCTGGCCATCCCTAGCCTTTCACAAGGATAACAGCACTTTGCTAACATTTAAACAACATCTGGAGAGGTAGAGAATGAGACTCACCGAAAAATTCTCTCTTTCTGTATCAATGGGTCCTGCTATTTGTTCTTTGATGAAGTCCATATCTTCATTCAGATCAAGGCCATAATATTCCATGACTTGACCCAGCTTGTTGGAAGAGATCAAGTGCTCAAACATATCAACGGAAGTCTTTTCATGCTGTTAAAAATGAGTTTTAGTAGTCTTATCCAGTTAATAACTAACAATAAACATGCACTCAAACACAGTTCCATCAATCCCACCTTATGCAAGCATGGAAACATGTTAAGAATCTGCACTTAGTCTCCCAGTTTATGTCTGGGAACTATAAGAAATTGCTCACAAACAGGCCATAATTCAAACCTAGCAGTTTTTAGAATACTAATTGAATACTATTCACTGTCTATTATTTTGCATGTAGCACACGCACCTTCCATTTGAAGTCTGGACGAGCAAGTGGAATGAATCTTCCATCAAACATATGTGAAAATGGTCCATGACCTAAAAGTAAGAACCGTGTTGGTCATCCACACAGCTGAGGGAAGTATATATACACTTGTCATACGTATTTGCTTTGGTACTTCTTTCAACAATGGTAATGTGAAACATACGAGAGATAAATTTGCAGCCAATTTGATCAAACTCTTTTATTCCCCAGAATGGTTAATAATTTGTCTACTTATTTAAAATATTTTATCCACCTTAAAAAAGGACCTAAGATAACTTGCAACATTAAAAGATAATATAATAATTATAATGCTGGAAAAATATTATTTAATAATAATAAAAAGCAAGATAATAATCACAATGAAATATCTAACCATAAAACCAAATAACATTTAGCTAAATATAAGTTGCAGCAAGATATCCTGGAAAGGGAAGAATTAAAATAGAATGCTACTCAACCACTTATTGAGATGTATTTCACGATCTTTAGGGAATTCTGGATCTCCCAGGCAGCACCACTGGGAAGGCCCCTGTTATTTGCATCCACCTCACTTCAGCTCACCTGTAGACATAACATGGAGCAGGACCACCCTAATGCTTGAACTACTACGAAACTAGAATGTGTCTAGAACTGGTGGATAGCTCAGTGGCTTAGGACTCTGGCTTGCAGAGCCAGAGGTTGGGAGTTTAATTCCCCACTGTGCCTCCTTGAGAGAGGCTGGACTATATGATTCATAAGGTCCCTTCCAGCTCTGCAGTTCAAAAGTTATTATTAAAATTCTTATTATTTTATCTGGCCAAATCTTCAGTTTATGAACTCATGATGAGTCGTCAACTGCTATCAAGCAGCTAATATTCTCATCAGGAACATGGAAGTATGCAAGCCTTCTGTCCCAGACACACTGGAGAGGGATGGTCCAGGAAGAAGCTGATCATAGCAATCTGCCGCTGTGGCAGCTGGCTTTTTACAGGCAACAACTTAGACATACACAGTCCTCATTTTTTTAACAACTGTATAGCCCATCAAGATCTATTTTCAGTTTTCATTTATACTTAAGTAAAATGAGTGAGAAATGATTAACAAAGTATGCAGATATATCTGTCAAAACATTTTACAACAGTATATATAATACACAACATCAATTCTTATTTGTGGCAAACCTCTCAGATTTTTCTAGCTATAAAGTACTCAGAAGTCCCTCATTCTGGTGGCAATCCAGAACTATTTAGCTAACCCAAGGCCATATACATGTCACGGTACACAACCCCAACACCACACATGTTTTGGGTAATCTCCACTGGATCATCTTGCAGAAACTGGGAATTTTAACTCCCAGCTCTGGGCTCTGCAATCAGATGTTCCAACTCTCTAATCTATACAACCTACACATACAATTTTGATAACAGAGAAGCAGCTTACCCAAATCATGACAAAGACCAGCAATCTGGACACACAAAATATCCCGCTGATTTATATTCAGTTCTGGTTGCCGCTCTTGCAGGGCCCGAACCAAACAGCCTGCCAGGTGACCAACTCTGTTGAAAGAAGGCAAGAGATGTGCTCAATTTCTTGAATGCTGCATTTACAAAATAAAACACACATCTGCCAGTTCATCATTGCAATACAACAGCAAAACGCTACCAGGTTTATTCAAACTGCTATGCAATTCATGGGACTGTAGTTATTAAAATTCCTAAAATTCACCAACTGTAGAGACCGAAAGTTGCATATTGCAGTTCAATTAAAAAACACAGAGAAGATCAACAGACAAGAGTGTACTCTTTACCCAAGAGAATGTTCAAAGCGGTTGTGTGATGCTCCTGGGAAAACATAGTAGGTACCACCTAATTGTTTAATGTATCGTAGACGCTGAAATTGAGGTGTGTCAATGATTTTAACAAGAAGAGGATGCATTTCAATGTGACCATGGATTGGGTCATTAAATACCTGAAAAACAAAGAAAATTTAGAACATATGTAATATGTGACCTATGAACACTAACAACATGAACATGTTACAAAAATAAGTCTCTGAAATAGAAAAAAAACTTTAAGTTTCTCAAATTTTATGCTGAAATACGGAGACGGTGATGATAGAATGAAAAAAGGTTTTAATTACTTACCAAGTGAGATCAATGCTGCGACTCATACAAAGCTTGGGAAAGTTATTTTGATTACAATGCCCAGAATACCCCAGCCAGAACAATCACTAGGCATATGCACAGTGTGAGGGTTCATTTTCAGGAGCTGTCGGCACCTCCAATAAAGGACGAGACGGTGGTAACAAATCAAACGGTTCTGTGTTTATTGCTACATCAACATTAAGAGGATGGGGGTTCAAAAAGGGGTTCAAAGACTCTTGTAATTCCAAACTCGGTTTCAAAGGTGTCCACAAACTGTTTATGAACGGATTAGTGTTCTCCATGTTCCATGGTCCTGTTAAGGGTTTCACAGCACCAGGAATGGGGTTCAGTTCTTCTTCTAAAACAATTAGGGGAACTGTTTCTTCATCCCCGCTCGTCCCCCCAAGACGACCCCTCTCCATCGTCGGCCATCCATGGCCCGGGAAACCCCCCAGCTTCTGTAACTCGGCTATATGCCACGCCTTTTTCCTCTCCAACTCACGGGCTACGGCTTCTCTCTCTTCCTTCAGCTTCCGTCTCCACTCCTTGGTCTCCGTCGCTCCCCAATACGAGGGACGAGGCTTGAGACCCAGCTGACGTCTCTTCTCAGCCTCCTCGTGTGGGACCCGCACCTGCTCCCACTTGTGGGTCCACAGATCTTCCATCCAGATCCATTCCCAACTGCCTCGTATCTCTTCCCTCTTTTCCCTTATATCTCCTACCGCCGCTTCGATCTCCTCCCTCTTTTTTCCCGCCAAAGTTCCCCCGGACCTGGGGGCAATGTTTAACTCTTTCAGGGCTGACACGAGGTCGCTAGTGTTTACCCCTTTATTCTTCGTAGGGGGTTCTGAGGTTTCTTTCCCCCAATCAGGGGTCTCCACTCCCTTCTCTTCCCGACGCGGTGGTGTAGGAGGTGGAGATGTTTGAGTGTGTTGGGACCTCGACAGGAGCGACGGCACTCCTACCAGGGCCTCCATCTTGGGGGCCTCACACCAAGTGCTATAGTCTCAAAAGACCTATACCAATGCAAAATACAAAAACAGGATAGAGAATTCTCAGGTTTCTAACAGAACTGGAAGCTTATTTGAGTAAACTAGCAAATGATGGAATAACTAACAATCTAAACATGCCTTTTCCTTCTTTCTGTCCTCAAACTATATCTGTATTTTGTCTCATGTACAAGTGAGAGTTTTCAAAAATTTGTTACATTTACAACTCACACATCATCCATGGTCAAGTTAGTGCATGGAGCTCTCCCCTTCTCTACCTTATTCACAACAGCATTCTGAGATAGGTCAGGCCAAGACTGTGACTGCCCCACAAAATCATGCAATGAGTTTCATGGGGAAACAGGGATGTAAACCAGGTTTCTTGCCTCAAAGCCCAATTAACCACTACACTACACTAGCTCTATTCCCAAGTCTTATTTTATAGATGTTGGTCCAGATTTGTCCATCCACAAACAAAAGGGATGCTTCTACTCTCTGAAATAACCATGATACAACCAAAAGGCTCCTAGCAAATAATTTTTGCCAGTTTCACTGCAGCCCCAGAGCTATGTCTGAAGCTGACCTGGAGGCTTCCCCATGCTTGCAATAACCCTTGCTGGCTTCCCATGTAAGCTGCACGCAGTCACCAAAACTGTCTCGGTGAGCACTTGATTACTCACATCATTCCTCACACAACATCTTTCACAGCAGACCACAATCCAAGCATCTGTTGGGTGGACATGGAGGAGCATGACCCTCTTCTGGAGGTGGAGCGAGGTCTGACCTTCTCCACACAAGCAAGAAAAGCCTTGAAACGTTGAGAACATGTTGGTACTATCTGGAACAATCACCTCTTCTGAAGACATCTCACTGTGCAGGGATGGTAGTGTAAACCTTCCCATGCTTGTACGTGGCTAAGAAAAAGTGCCTGTATGTGTAGCTGTTTATATAAGGCAGTGACAGAGCGTGTACAGTCTGTTGTTTTTAGAGCAGGTACAGTACAACGTCAGGGAAGACTAAATGTCTGGCGCCCAAACCACTGCCACATGTAGCCTTCAGGAGCAAAGAAGTTGCCAACCCTATATCTACTGGCTGTTACTCTCCTACCACACTCCTTTATAATACTTGCCAGACTCTTACATGGGAGGGGAGCTTCTGTCATTGCTGCACACCAATAACTGTAGCATATCAGCTTATCTCCTAAGCAGTATCTAGAAAGGCAACTTTTATTCCCTTCTGGGTTTATTTTGTTTAGCTGGCATCACAGTTCGAGAAGAAAAAGATCAGTAAAGACTATGTCCAAAAACAGACACCAACCAGTCTTTCAAATTAATGTAAACTTTTTCTCTCACCTTCATTATGTCAGCATGACTTAATGTTAGTTTGTTCAGACAATCCAGAAGCTTCACTCTCACTCCTATATGACTGAAAAAAATCAAGCAGATTATCAGGTTAAATTAACAGTTCAATATTTTATTTAACATGGAACTTAACTTTAAATATAACTATTGCAACTATAAATGTTTCCACACCAGTTTGCGAAAGATTTTCAAAAAAGGAAGAAATTATTTTTTACAAACTGCAGCAATTGTGAAAAATAGTGGATTTACAAACAATTCCTTTATTTATATTTTCCACATTAAGTATAGTAAAGATAAAGACATATGCATATTTCCGCATCCTCTAGGTATAAACTGTGCCAACAGTCTACCATAATGAGAAAACCAAATATAAGCATATGCTATATTCATGTTAATACCCAGTTAAAAAGACAATCAAATACAATTTCAACATTTCATTTAACAGTTTCATATTAGCTATAATAAAGAAAAAAGTATATGCATTTTCCAGCTCCTCTAGCTATAATCTGTGCCAACTGTTTGCCATCATAAGAGAATACATATAAGCATATACAGTGGGGTCTCGACTTACGAACAGCTCGACATACGAACGTTTCGACTTATGAACCGCTCTCATAGGAATAAATGGACTCGACTTACGAACTTAGATTCGAGTTACGAACTCTTTTTTTCCTTTTTTTTAAAGCTAAGTCATCTTAGGTTAAAAGGAAAAAAGAAAAAAATATCCCCCTCTAGTGGCAGAAGGCGGAATAGCAGCTTCCCATTAGTTTCTATGGACGAAAAGAGCAGATACGGATTAAATGGTTTTCAATGCATTCCTATGGGAAATGCAGATTCGACTTAAGAACTTTTCGACCTGAGAACTGCCTTCCAATACGGATTAAGTTCGTAAGTCGAGACCCCACTGTATATGCTTATATGTATTCTCTTATGATGGCAAACAGTTGGCACAGATTATAGCTAGAGGAGCTGGAAAATCCATATACTTTTTTCTTTATTATAGCTAATATGAAACTGTTAAATGAAATGTTGAAATTTTATTTGATTGTCTTTTTAACTGGGTATTAACATGAATATAGCATATGTGTGAAACACCATTTCCCATAGGAATGCATTGAAAACCAGTTAATCCGTTCCAATTGGAACGGATTGCCGTCCTTAAGCGAAAATCCCATAGGAAACATCGTTGATGGAAACGCGGTTCCCCAATTGAAATGCATTGAAGCCGACTCAATGCATTTGAATGGGTTTGCAAAGTCCATTTTCGCTCCTGTAAAAGTGCCTTAAACTGTTTGAAAAGTGTTTTAAATGCTTGCTATCGTTAGCCCACCTCCTGAAACCTACGCAAACTTAATTTGGTGTTGTTCTGAGGCGTCCTTAATTTTTGGTGATTTTTTGTTTTCTCCATTGAAAGCCACTGGACGGTCCATCCAAAGGTCTTTGCCTTTGTTTACTTAGCAGCAGCACTGTTAAGAGATCAACATCATGATCACATCTGTTTTTGTTTAACAATCATACAAAGACTGAATCAGCTGTTAAAAGCAGAATTACTCATTTTGGAACTAAAATACAAATTTACCCTTACCTAATTCCCATTTCGGTAAGATGAGATTCTGTGAGGAAAAGCACTGAGGAACCACTGATTTGATTTTCTAAGGAATATAAGAAAGAGTTGTTAACTTCTTAAATACATTCCTGAAATTATATCTCAAAATTAATTGGACAAATATTATATAAAAACCAAGAAAAATATTAAGCATAAGAATGTTGTACAACATTAATATATCATTCTAAATTACTGTACTGTATCTGAAGTACACCATTGACCAGTGGCCTTACAGCTTTAGTTGCACTTTCACTTCCCACCAGTCTCAGCTAGCTTTGCCAATAGTAAGCAAAAAGAGGAAGAGAGTATGTCACAATCCGAGGAGTCCTAAGGTCCCTCAATCCCACACCATACTCTCATTTTGTTATGAAAAAGTTCTACTCCTAAAAGAGTAAGTAACATTGACAAAATTGTATTTAAAGGACAATAACTGAGGCCTCTAATTCTGAAATGTACAATACTGTAGTCCTCAAAGAGAAAACATTAATGTTTAGGACACAGGTGTTTCATAACTGCAGTTTACCTATTTACTTACTTACTCGGATTTTAACCCAAGGCTACCTATTCTATTAAGCATAGTGAGATGTCTACCTCATATAGCCAATTCCCAAAGCTGACATAATTATGCCTCCTTCCATGCCAGGAAAACACCAGATATTACTCTACGGAGATTCTCTGAGCCGAAGGGGGAGGACAAGAATTTATTTATGTAGTACAGAAATAAAAATATCTTAAAATAGAGGAAAATGTGCTTTTAAGGCCTAAAACAGGCCAACTTCTTTCAACTCTCTCTCTACAAACACACACACACACACACACACACACACACACCTCTGTAGGAAAGACAAGACAAGAAAATAGAAGAAAATGAACCACACTGTTAAAGGCCCTAACGTCTTTTAAAAATGTTATGTGCCATCAAGTCATTTCCAACTACTGTAATGGCAACCGTAACAGGGTTTTCAAGGCATGCGAGATATCCAGGGAGTGTTTCTCCATTGGCATACCTCACTGAGTAGGATTTAAACCCACTCCTAGTCCAACACTCTCCACAACAATGGCTCTCAATAATATCAATGGGACAACAGTAAGTTTAATAGGAAGGGACGATTTTTGCAAAGTTAAACGACTTCCTCTGCATTGCAATGGAATGTTACAGGAAGATGGAAATGAAATAAATGTTCCTGTTTTCTAGACACTACCCTCCATACCATGCCAAGTTACAGGAAAATTATCAGAGCATTTTGGAATGGGGAAGGTAAAGAAGAATTATTTCTCTGCACAAATATACCCTAAAACATTTCTTCCTTACTTCTGCAGTCCCTGCAAAGATTATTGTAAGATTCCAGTAATATTAAGAGCTCAGACCAGATTACTACTACTCCCAACACAATGTTGAGGTTGCCTCTGGATTCGTTCATTCAGAAACTTAATTCCACCTCACTCTGGTTTAACACAAACTCTGATAAGGAATTCAAAAGAAATCTGAAGTTAGTTCACTGCTTTATGGTTTTTAATTGATCCAAGTAAAATGAATTACTACATTTTTCTGTTTGGGTTCCTCCTCACAGAACAGAACAGCACAAGACATTCCAAGAATGTCAAGATAAGGAAGTAGTACTCCCCTCACTTTTTAAACTCTGAAACTGATTCTATTCCTCAGCTCAGCAAACAGAAAAATACTGCATTTCTACACCCTATTCCCTTTGGACGATCAACTGGCATATCTGGAAATGACAGTTTTTTACCCCCTGAAGTTCATTTCCAAATTTTGTTCTTATACACTACACACCTCCACATTCTTGCCTCAGATTTTGAACTAAAGATATAGTAGTAGTCATAAAAGGTAGCCCAGCATACACCCTCTGAAAAGCCCTTTTCCAAGTATCTTATAAAAATCAAGACTGGAAATACTATCCCCAATGACTGGAAGTTGAGTCATAGTAACTAGATTTCTTTCTTATTAGGCTCAAATGTTTTGCTACTCATCCAAGCAGCTTCTTCAGTTCCAACCTAAGAAAGAAGTCTAATTGCCACGACTCAAACTTCCAGATAACTTCTGGAACTTCTCAGTCATCACCTTATCTTCACAGATAATTTAATAAACAAAAGTGATATGAAAATAGCTTATCAATAGGTGCAATATCAAACTTATCTCCTAGCCACTCAAAGCTTGTAATGTTACAGGTTACTGGCTCAATTTACACATGCAGACCCCTTGTTCCATAAAGATTAAAGAGAGAAATGATCAACAAACATTGAGTTTGGTAACAAAAATTATAGCACTTTCTCTCAGCTAGATAAAGAAGAAAAGAATTCATCATTAGAGAATTTGAAATCTAATTACATACTGTAATTAGGAAACTGACAATGAGCAACAAGGACTGCCAAGCAGGAAATTCAACCGAAGAATTCCTTTATCAAAAACTACACAATGTGTCCAGAACTCTGGGCAATTTTTCAAGATCTCTAAATCACCTCATCTAGTAAAAAAGAGGTGGGGATCAACTGGGTTACCCACTCTTCAGTGACTCAACACAATTTTTTTTTTCAGAGGAATTACCAGTGAGCACAGTGGCTTTGTTTCTGAGTAATCATGAGCAAGATTGCAGTTTTAGAATCTCATGCTGTAAAAAATTTGCTTTGTGTTTTAACCTGCCACAGGAACTCTTTCTTCTCTTTTATTCTGTATCCAACACAGGAAGGAAACCAGCAACCTTCGAGGTCTAACAGGGAGATTTTTTTTCTTAAAGGGAAAACAACTGCATGAGTATAATAAAAACAATTAACAATCCTATGACACCTTTAACTAGTTTCACTTGGCATCAGTTTTTATAATCCTTACTCAGTGCCTTCCCTCAGCTGTAACACGGTCCATGATAAAAAGCATCTGCTCTGAGAGCTTTGAGATGAAGGCATCACTTCCATTTCTCAGTCAAAACCAAAACAGTCTTATCCAGGAAAGCTCGCACTAAAATCTAGCTGTTCGAGTCTTTAAGGTGCTATAATATCTGTAAAGATTCTCAGTCATCCAGGTGAGATTATCTGGAAGTTGAGTTATGGCAACTGGACTTCTTTCTTGTTAGGCTGAAACGTTTCACTATTCATCCAAGTAGCTTCTTTAGTCCGAAGAAGCGACTTGGATTTTAGTCCGAAGAAGCGACTTGGATGAGCAGTGAAATGTTTCAACCTAACAAGGAAGAACTCCAGTTGCCATGACTCAACTTCCATTTAAGGTGCCATGTTTTTGTCTCTATTTTTTTTCAATTTTGTTTTGATTTTCTCAACAGACTACTTGCAGGGGATGGGTATAATTATTTGGTTTAACTTGAGATTATCCCGAGGAACCCAACGGTATTCAAATTCCGTGCAGTTTTGGGACAACTCAGGGAGCTAGACCACGAGGCTGCAAGTTCAATTCCCACCTGCTGCTCCCAGCAGAAAGGCCGACTTTATGTACCCTTGGCGACGGTGCAGGTCTCACAAATATCTCTGGAAGAAGGGATTAATAAACCACTTTTTTGTGTACTTCAGGCCTAGAAACCGGAATCAACTGGACCGCACGTTATCTTCTATTTTTCCCCCACTACTCTGACTTAAGCAGCCAACTCCAGCCTCGTGGAGCTGCACAGGATCCCGTCTACCGACTCCTTCGCCTCCCCTCGGACCCTTCACAAAGTAAAATGAAAGAAAGAGCAAACGGGAGCGTCCTCTCCGCGCCTGCTAATTCGGCGGCAGCAAAAGTTGAAATTCCCGGCGAGCGTTCCCGTAACGTGGCAGCGCCGGGGCCCCGCCTTCCCTTCGATTCCTTTTCCCGCTCACCTTGCAGGCAGCGCAACAACGCCGGATCGTTGAATCCCTTGCTGCGGAGGAAATCACACAGCTGGTCCGTGTCCCATTCTCGGGGATGGAGCCCGCCGGGATCAGCAACCGGCCCTAAAACACCGCGTTTTTCCGGTGTGTGCAACCCCTCGGCCGGGCTTGCCGGCCGAGCGCGCTTCAGAGCAGCTTCCCCCTTACGGTTCCACATTGTGTGGGCGGCGATTTTTAAGGCACCAGTGCGCAGGCTCCCTCGCCACCCGTCCGCTCCAGCGAGCCGACTGACCTGACTGACGCCTGGCTTCGTCGCTGTGCCGCTAGAAACCGACCTCCTGCCGGCAGCGGGGTGTGTGTGTGTGTCATGTGACACCAATCCTCCTATCAAGGGAACGGTGGGGAGGGGGACAGGCGGCCGAAAAGATTTGCTGCCGTCCCTGCTGTCTCTGCGGGAGGAAGATGGCCTTGCGAATAGCTGGGTTCCTTTGGTGGACCAGCCGCGTGGTTTGAGCGGGCTTTAATGGTTGAGGCTGGAAATAAGCTGAGAATGGGGCTGAGCTGACTGGACTGAGACGATATAACAACAAAACCAGCAGCGAAGCAACACCTTTTTAGTGATGACTACAATTCTACCAAAAATGTGAAAGACAGTTTTATACAGATGTTTAAAAGATAATGTGGTACAAAATTAGAGGGGAAATCCGGGCCTCATACCTCTGAAGTTATCCTTTGGGGTTTCTTTCCTTCATGAAGATGTTTAAGGCTGACCATTGAGATGTTCAATAAAATTATGGTCACTGTGTGAACAACAATGGTTTCTGGGAGGGCAGCCCTGCTAGTTTCTTGCAGCAAAATCAAGAGTTTGTTTGGTATGAGTTTTCATGGAATAAATAAGCAAAAACAGTTCGTCTGCTGAAAATAGATCAAGCTTTGTGCATTAACGGGGTTGCCAGTTCTCAGGGTTCCAACGGAAATAAGAGAATGTTAGCCTGTTTCTGAGGTATTTAAAACAAGGGTAAATCTTCAGAATGAGGGACCAAACGTCTGACATTCAGACCATTCTTATCAGAAGGCACAGACTTGGTATCTTGGCACTTATTCCTTCATATAAGGAGCAGTTCCATATTTAGTACAGTATTTAAAGTAGGTTTATTTTCAAGAATAAATGGAACATAATTACAAAAAGCAATTTTACAACAACAATGTATGTTAATGAAGTACTTGTACTCTATTAAAGTCACTTCACAATATTGCCAAATCAAAAAAGGGATGAAGTACTTGTACTCTATTAAGTCACTTCACAATATTGCCAAATAAAAAAAAAGGAAAGCTTTTGGTTCATTCCCAGCAATCACATGAGTTCAAAGTGGTCCAAAAGAGAATGATTTTGTCCACACTAAAATAGAAGAAAAAGAAGCAGCCCCTGCCAGGGCCCAGAATGGTACAGGGAGGACTACACTGGGGGCAGGTGGAGGAGGCTAGTTTGCTCAAAAAAATATGGTCTGATCACTATCTTTAGGAGTGACCCAGTTAGTTCCTGCAATGGACCAGAGAGTAGGCTAAATGCCCATGCAGTCAGCCGCGTAGATTGAACATGATACCACCCAACACCTAATGGAACATTAGTCTTTACAGTATTTGCAATGGGTAAATACAATATCTGCCCTCGAATAGTAAAAAATACATTATTATTGTACAGAGAATAACCGTATTTCATAGGTTGATACTTATATAGCAGTGGCCTTCCTTCTGTATTTTGCCATATTGACCAAAATCCTGTTTTGTAAAGTTACAGCCACTCAAACAGATGGTATCATCAGCCAGAAGTTTTTATCGCTCATTTCTTATTCCACTCCCCCTTTGGGATCCCATTTAACCTGGGGAAGTATTTACGGGCCTCAGCAGTGTGGAGGAGTTTTTAATACATATATAAAAAGCCCTTTAATATATATCTAAAAAGTGGAACCAGCAGGACTGATTTGTTTGATATTACAGCTCCCTCCACCATCCTGTGGCTCTCAAAGGCTTGCCTAGGTCAAAATAGATTAGAGAGCCTTGGAACCCTGGGTGGAGACAGGAAACTTTAAATTAAATTAAAGCATATTTGTGAGTGGTGACATCATTGTCATTTACACCTGTGTAGCTGCTGTACAGGATTTCTGCCACTGATTTAAACCAGGTATATACAGTAGTGAGAGATAAGTGCAAAAAAACACAGAGATATTTCAGAAAGCATTGTGACTATTTTGTTTATGCATAGCAGCAGTAATAACACCAACAATGATAATTTTTATGTTGTAATTCTTATATTTTTTTTTTACTAAAGCAAGAGTTTTTAAAGTTGAAGTTCTCACATTTCACTTATAACATTATATGTAATTTTAAAGTTTTAAAGTCATGTAGGTGCCACATGAAATCTGCCTTTTCTTGTGCTTTAACAGACTAACATGGCTACCTGCTAAATTACTGGAAACGCATGACAAACATTAGGGATGGTGGTACCATTTGCATAATTCATTCATGAAGAAAGAATAACTAAAATGAAAATACAATATATCTCACCAGAATGGGGAAGAATGCCAGACATATATGCCTGCTCAATCTGATAGCTCAGCCAAATACCAAATGCTGGTAACATCAAGATTCTCACTCTCATTTTTGTTTTTAAATTTTTATTTTATACTAGTCTTGGTCTGGACTGTCCTTCAAATACAGAGTAGACTTGCACGAAGAAGAGCAAATGGTTTCCCTAATACATACTAATTTTTTCAAGGTCTATATCTCCAGAGCTAAATGGGTAAGAATGTTTAATAATTTCACTCATTTTGAAACATCACCATAATTTGTCTCCAACACCAAATTCAGACTCCTCTAAGTGATAATAAACCTGGCAGAACAGGCCACCGAAAAACAAAAGGATAATAAATAAAATAAAAAAACATGATACAGGAGTCAGTTTGTATGCTTGAGCCCATTACAACTTATATTATGATGAAGCATGGATTGTTGGCTTTACTAAAACTTGTGAATAAATCAGTCTTAGAATCTATGTTCAAATTGTTACATCAGTTGACAGAAAGTCTGGTTTCGGATTTATTTATTTAAGTTTCACTATCCTTCCTCTTCATTGAAGAAACAGAATTATCCTGTAAAAGCATAAAAATTAAGTTCTGTCTTGCAGTGAAGGTCAATACACAATGTCATATTCTCCCTGATAAAGAGGTCAAATATGTTCCAGGAGGACCCTGTACCACTATAAGATATGCACTTTCCCCATTTCTTTTGTGAGAAAAAGTTAAAAGGCATGCATAGACACCATTTCATTATGGTATCTCCCATCACTTCTTCCCAGAGTTAAGTATGTGCAACTTAAATACTGTATTACTTATACATATATCCATAAATATAGCAGATACCAGAGTTTATTGTTCCACAGCGCACCCATAATAGCCATCTTCCCTTCCCTCATAATTATTTCTTAGGATTCTAGCATCTGGGAGCATTAACCCTCCTGGATTCAGGCTTCTAGGAATTGACACCGACTGGCAGTTGCACTTCAGGGCTTTATGCATATGTTTTTCCAGCCTTCAGAGGTATGGGGCAGAAGAGAAGACTCCAGATGCTGTGAGACAGGTTTTTTTCCCCACTCTTGTCTTGGACTGTGGCATGTTCTCCATGCAAAACGTTATTTACCAGTGATCAAAAGTGTCTCCCTAAAACAATGCTCTGAAGAGTGATCTTGATCAGCCATTTTCAGCAGGGGGACATATGCCTGTAGGCTCTAGCACATAGTTTGGGGACAATAGACCGGAACCTATTATTTACACAGCACCTTAACAAAGTTCATTATGTGATTTATCCTGATTCGGCCTATATTTCTTTCATGTTGTGTTTATGGCTATGGTCAAAAAAGGTTGGGCTGATCTAGATTACAAATATGGTACAAAAGGGATATTGAAAGTCAGACCCTAGTGTTTGCATAGGAAAATTTGAGTCTTTGTGAGAAATGCATAAAAGTCTTACAAACTGCATGCATTCTAGAGGTCCCAGTTCTGAACTACAGATTATTTAACCTAAATATAAAAAGCTTGGTCATCTAAGGATTCCTTACCTTTGGTGTTAATAAACTTTTCAATCGATTGACAGAGATCATGTTTAACTATATTTATAATCTATAATCTCTTAATTCCTTTTTTTACATTAGATTCTAATCCACTGTTCTTCAAAATGTCTTGGTACAATCAGTGAAACCTTAAGAACAAAGCCAATTAAGTGTACATATTTTGCATGACAAAGTAAACATTTGGGTTAATGTTCTCAATTCCAGTCCTTCAGTCAAGAATCCTATAGGCTAGCATAGAGAAATTATACTTTTAAGATTACCTATCCAGACAGCATAAATACAGTGGGTATGTCAGTAGTATTTTAAAGGAATCAGAGAATTTGTACATACATCCAGACTACATACATCTTGTGAGAAAGGCATGGCACTAGCTCACCCATTGTCCAGAGCACAGGTCCTGCCCAGCTCAGCACCACTCCCACAGCCTGACTGAGCCAGCAACATGTTCATTCCACTCAAATCTTGCTGGGTACTGCAAGGCAATGAAAAACATCAAAATTAAATCAGCCTGCAAGTAGAATCTGCTTTTCCAGTTTTCATATCAATGTCAACTACATTATCAGTTTTTTAAAAAAAAACAAGAGAAGTCCATATGGAGGGTGGCTGGAAGGGAGGGATGGGGAAAGAGTGGTGTTAATAGGATGGGAAGCTATAATTCCGATGAAAATTTTATTATTGGAAGGTGGGGTATGGCATGCTGCAGCAAGATAGGTAAATATTTCCATGTGAATGACAAAAACGATTCCAACTGTGGAAACTGCTGGGGAATGGTATGGCACATGTGATCAACCCAATCAACCCAGTACATCCTCCCTGGGTAGTGGAGCCCATAGTAAATGGGGAAAAAAGCACCATCAAACATTCTACTTACTGGTTTTTCCATCAATTTACCGTAGTTGCCTGAGTGCAGTCAGATTTAGAGTAAAAATAAACCTTAGTTTATGTGAGGCTGGGAGTACACTAGGGCAGGTGTTCCCAACCCCTGGTCCACAGTCCGGTGCCGGTCTGTGGGCTTCCTGGAACTGGGCTGCGGAGACGGATCAATGGCCCCCACCCGCACACATGGTGGGAGTGCCACGCTTGCGGAGGGGTGTGTCGCACTTGCGGAGGGGCGTGTCATGCTCTCGCGCATGTGCATGAGCGTGACATCCCTCTCTGTGAGCACGACACACCCACCCGCAAGCGTGAC